GAGGCAACATCAAACTAGCAGCTGATGCGTTTCCTATTTGGACAAATAGTTGTTTTTGAATGCCTGCAAGTTTCAACAGCATTAATGAGCACAGTTTTGATGAAGTACAATTCTGACATACAGAGATTGGAGGTCATTCCCATTTTCAGCTTCATGTTTTCCATATTTCTCACTGCCATACTGACATTAAAAAGAGCATTACAATCATTATCAAGCACCATTTTTGTTCCTCTCTAGCAGACTGAACAGAAAACACTCACGGTTCATGGGCAGGACAATATTAAACAGAGTGGTTATGCCCCCATGCAAAAAGGGTACATGGACAAAAATATAAAAAATGTCTTTTCACAGAAAGAAAAATTGAATAGTTAGAAAGGTCATACATAACATTTCAGACAAGCAAATGCATAAAAGTGATAAATGGGCAAAAAGTTATCAATTACACCTCACACATGGATATGAGTAAAGTGATCAATTACACCTCACACATGGATATGAGTAAAGTGATCAATTACACCTCACACATGGATATGAGTAAAGTGATCAATTACATCTCACACATGGATATGAGTAAGGTGATCAATTACACCTCACACATGGATATGAGTAAAAGAGATCAATGACATCTCACACATGGATATGAGTAAAGTGATCAATTACACCTCACACATGGATATGAGTAAAGTGATCAATTACATCTCACACATGGATATGAGTAAGGTGATCAATTACACCTCACACATGGATATGAGTAAAAGAGATCAATGACATCTCACACATGGATATGAGTAAAAGTGATCAATTACACCTCACACATGGATATGAGTAAAAGTGATCAATTACATCTCACACATGGATATGAGTAAAGTGATCATTTACACCTCACACATGGATATGAGTAAAAGAGATCAATGACACCTCACACATGGATATGAGTAAAAGTGATCAATTACATCTCACACATGGATATGAGTAAAAGTGATCAATTACATCTCACACATGGATATGAGTGAAGTGATCAATTACATCTCACACATGGATATAAGTAAAAGAGATCAATTACTTCTCACACATGGATATGAGTAAAAGTGATCAATTACATCTCACACATGGATATAAGTTATCAATTACATCTCACACATGGTTATAAAAGTGATCATTTACACCTCACACATGGATATGAGTAAAAGTAATCAATTACATCTCACACATGGATGTGAGTAAAAGTGATCAATTACATCTCACACGTGGATATGAGTAAAAGTGATCAATTACATCTCACACATGGATATGAGTGAAATAATCAATTACACCTCACACATGGATATGAGTCAAAGTGATCAATTACATCTCACACATGGATATGAGTAAAGGTAATCAATTACATCTCACACATGGATATGAGTAAAAGTGATCAATTACATCTCACTCATGGATATGAGTGAAGTGATCAATGACACCTCACACATGGATATGAGTAAAAGTGATCAATTACATCTCACACATGGATATGAGTAAAAGTGATCAATTACATCTCACTCATGGATATGAGTGAAGTGATCAATGACACCTCACACATGGATATGAGTAAAAGTGACCAATTACATCTCACACATGGATATGAGTAAAGTGATCAATTATACCTCACACATGGATATGAGTGAAGTGATCAATTACATCTCACACATGGATATGAGTAAAAGTGATCAATTACATCTCACACATGGATATGAGTGAAGTGATCAATTACACCTTACACGTGGATATGAGTAAAAGTGATCAATTACATCTCACACATGGATATGAGTAAAAGTAATCAATTACACCTCACACATGGATATGAGTAAAGTGATCAATGACATCTCACACGTGGATATGAGTAAAAGTGATCAATGACATCTCACACATGGATATGAGTTAAAGTAATCAATTACACCTCACACGGATATGAGTAAAAGAGATCAATTACATCTCACACATGATATAAGTAAAAGTGATCAATTGCACAACTGGGGTGGGGTGGTGGGGGCTGGGATTTTGTATTATTGAGACCTAGATATTTTTTTCAGCTACAGCTGCAAACAGGATGTTTTATTAATTAAAGTTATGAGACAAACTTTTTCTTTCCATCATTGCAACAATGTCATTTATGAATAAACAAGACGATTAACAAACAGATGCGACACTAATTGGTTGACTAAGGCAAATCTTATTTTATCAAGGACTTGTTGCTGTTAGTTGACAACTTGACATTATTAAAGATGTACGTAAATTTTGACTAAATTACTGACTAATGATGACCATGTTTTTTCTTCATCGCAACTGCAACTAAAATAACACGATATTGGAATATATTATTCTTGACAAAATAATATTTCAGATACAATTTCTTCCCACCATAACATCAAAAGTCTTTGAGGTTATCTTAGTTTTAAATCATCGATAGATCGTCTTGGCTTAGTTTATAGCAAATACACATGGTAATTATAATATCTGCATAAAAAGCAATGACTTGGACAGCTGGAAATACAATTTAAATGGTAAATCATCATCTACAGTGTTACGTGTTGATTCCCAAATTGAAACAATATGTTAACCCAGAAATCTGTACTTAAAAGAATTTAGTGTGAAACCAACAAACAACCAACAAATGGTATGTATCAACAATTGTATTACAAAACTAACTAGGTTTACAAATCAAGACAAATTACTGCACAGCAATTACTACAGAGGGTGGTAGTACACTATTCAATGGCAGTATAAGATGTAAGAGCAGTGGAAATGAAAATGGGAAGGATAATAATCACCTCGCCACAACAGTAGTCAAGCTGCTGAGATAGGCCTGGAATGAATGCCAGGGTGAAAAGTGATCTTCACACAAAAGCTGGTCTTGATGTAATGTCAGATGAAATGAAATATGAGACGAAATATGAGATGAGACAGGGACGAGCATGCTCCACTTATATAGTCTTACCAGCATCCAGCACTTTCCACTCAGTGCTTGACCAGCGCAGTGTCACGGGAACATCACAGAATATACCACATGTTTCTATAACGCTTGACATCCATCCATGCTGTTCTGGCAGTTTACGGTTGATTCTAGCATCTAAACATGATAACTCCCTCAACACTGCTAACATTAAATAGTACTACATTCCTGATAACTACGCATTGTCCAAATACAATGCAATGAACTTCTACTGAATCTCAACACTAAACATTGTAATCATTGTTTAACAATAAGTTACACTGCCTTATATTATAATACTAGTGATGTTTTATCTCAATTACCGTATCAAAGTTTTATTGACCAAGTTTGTTATAACTGTTCGTTCACTTGAATTTGCTGAAGGGATACAATGTAGTTTCTTACTGCACATAACACTTGATTAATCTTTTTTTTACACTTTGAATCATAAACAACTACTATATTCTAATCCTTTTTCCAAACTCTGATATGCAACGTGCGACGTAGATCATGCGCGGTAGGCTGAGAATGTACTGTTATGTTGGTCATCTACCCCCTATGACTCCACCTCGGTTAAACCGCTGATCGTCTATAACACTCATCAACTATTTGGCTACCCAAAGGTAGTGTTGTAGCATGGGATCACTGTACTTGTAACTTTCACTGGACTACACACAGCTACAGTGTCGGCAGATATTCAAGGCTATGGCATTGACATTTTGAATTGAAATGATCATACCATGATTATGAAAAATGATGTCTTACAGATTTCTACCTGTGTGGAGTGATAATCATGACCAGTATTGCCTGTTGAATGAAAATGACACCTAAATGGTGCATAGTACAAGGAGGCACAAAAGAGACTGACAAGACTTATATGTTACAAGATGGATATGTCACGGTAGGTGGACACCATGGCAGGTCATCAGTGATCAGAAGGAGGTCGAACCTGGCTAGCTAATCAAAGTTGTTAACTGCATTCTGGAACGCAATTTCACATCAACAATCAGTCAGAAAGAAAGCATTCTCGAGAACAGTGTATACCAAGCAAATAGCCAATGTAACATCAAAGCTGAAAATTCCTAAAATTTGCTGCTGTTGGATCCCTTGCCATCTGTTTCTACTCTCAAGAACAATCTGAGACAAGCAAGATGCCACCAAACTTGTGATGAATAATTAAGCACAAGGCAATAAGAATCTACCAAATGCATAAAACTTACAATCTTGAAACTGTTAAACTGGATTCTTATTGAAATGCCTAAGATTGCACTGTATAATTAAGATCTTGGGGAAAATAATTATTATTATTTCAACATCATCATCATCATGTTCTCTAGCATAATTCAAAACTTCTGTGTATCACTGCTCAAAGTATCCCCATGGTCAGTGTGATGATGTAATAAATTCATGATTTTCCAACACAGCCAATACAATTCTTTACAGTGGGATGAAAGTCTCTTGATTCATTTAATCATTCTGGAGTTAGAAGACACTGAGACAATCTACATAACTGAATGGAGATATCTGGCCATGTATATCTATGAAAGTATGCAGGGGGTCAGTGGAGGTCCCTAAACCAATGGTATCATAAAAGCGTTAAGTACGTTCAAGATGGATCCCCAAACAACATTAAAAACATTTTGTTGTTATTGCAGCTGACAAATGACAGTAATTCCTGCATTATTCATGCTGATCTTAGATCACTAACTACATCTAGACTGTGAGTAATTAATATGAATTATGTATGGTGTATAATGTACTATATGTAGTAAAATTACTATGTTTATGGACCGTTTACTACAAGATGCTTGGATTAAAAATGTGTTCAGTTTATCTGTAACTAGTAGGTCTGAGTAGGTGCACAGGAGCTTTAATGTATACATCTTTGAGTATATTGATATATAGCAGTGTCAAGAGAACAAATACTAAAAGAAGACAAACCAAAAAGAGAACAATTAAAGAACAGTCCTTAACGATGTGCTGTAAAGACAGCAGGTGAGATGAATAGTGAACAGAGAAAATTTACGCTTACCTAAGCAGACCAAAGGTTGGCTGATGAGTATAGTAGCTTGATAATTTGAGATTGGTGAATTCACAATTTTCCCAATGACAGCCTGAAAAGAGCATGACAGCAGGTCAAGTGTGAGAGAACTAGTGGTTGAAAGTATTCACATACTTGTATATAGTCATAAAGTCAGAGTGAGTTTACATACAAGAGCAATATGCAACTCAAATCACAGCTGCAAGTGAAACTTCCTAGACGGTCACTCAAAGTTTGGAAATAAATTAAATATGTGTGTCGCATTCGGGTTTAAAAGCATTGACCAACAGTATTTGAAACCTGACAAACAAAAAGAATATATTGTTCAAATGAAATGTACGCTCGAAGTACTTACCCACAACTTTGAAAACAGTAATGTTTATCCCTTTAAAGTATCCATAGTCAAACATTTTGGCAACTCAAACCCCATTTCATATTGATTTCAGTAGGTCATACATGTAGATTAATTTTGAAATGAAATGTAACAAACAACCCCATTCAGCATTCAACAGACCGAAGCAACTGCCTTTATCAGTACTTTCAGGTTCCAGCTATGTACGTCACCTGCCACCTTTCATGTCTCATTTGATTTGGACTGAACATCTAGGTTTGATAATTGGTTCTGTTTTCCCCATGTACATTGAGCATTTGTATTCATTTTCTGATATTATTCATTTTAACAGCAGCACAAAGCATCTTTGCACAATATCACACGCTAGTAATTGGGGTGTGACCTTGGCCTAATTTCCATGTCTAACTTGAGCAAAGTTGCTAACTTTCTTCAATCTCAATTTGAATTTCTTCCAGACAATTTGAGTCATTTTCATGCCAGAATTTCATTAAGCTATCAAAGGGTGAGCTACATTGAAAACATAGGGAATTTCATAAGCGGATCTTTATGCTGAGGACACGCTTTTGACCTTTGAAAATAAGTGCAGGCGACAACCAATATTTTGATATCCTGCCTCCTATATTGAATCTTGCCAGTTTAATAGGCACTCCCGACAGAGACCTCTTCTACAGCATAGGAGTCTTATGTCAGATTATTCTTGTGGACACTTTTTCACTAGTTACCAATATTGTCGCTTTAAAACATGTAATTGAATTTGAGCCCAGACAAATCCAGTTTAATTTGGCTAGCAGGCGAGGAAATCCCGGTAAGAGCTTCAACATACAGCTGATATTTCTGAGACAAACCATATTTTGTCTGCGCAAATCCGGATAGAAAAACCTATAATTGAATTTATACCAGACCAGTTTTTCACTCTTTGCCAGTGGTAGGTGACGTCTGCTATACAAGGGATATCTTACAAAAGGCATTTAAACCTCAAACAGTGTGGTTTAACCCCAGAAAAATGATCTAATGTCAGTGCAAATAAGCTGTTATCAGCTGTAATAATGTAGCTCCCTTTATCATTAAGTCAGAGCTACAGTCAGGGAGATAGTGTTTACTCGACTATAATACGTAGCACCGACAAAATCAATATATAAAACACAGCCAGACAAAAACATGAGCATCTCTTCAAATAAAACGTTTTAATCCTTCAAACTGTCATTAGCCACAACGCTGTTTTTCTTACATAGGAGACGTCTTGTTCACTTCTTTGATAAGCCGATTATTAGTGGCGGGGCAAGAGAAATATCAAGGTCACAATTACTTCAGATTATTGATGTGAAATGGTTTCAAATAGTGGTAATGTTAATGTGCCATAGTCTGAAAAAAATCTGAAATGGCGTACAAGGAAGAAAATCAATAAAAAACACTATATATATGAAAAGATCAAGCTTAAAAACGTCTGAGTAGAAATCCTGAGAAATGGACACTTATGTCTCCTGAATATGTCTGGCTATGAAAGAAAATATTTAATGCCATAAGATTTTTCAAGATGACTAACAGGAGGCCATATTTAAACTGACGATCACTCACATTGATCTAAAGATGTTTGTTAAAGAATAAGTACGGTACAGTTGCAGTACTGATGCCCATTACCCATAAAAAACAGTTTTATCACAGCAGGATTTCACCTCATTGAGGTATTATGCAATCTATTTTAACACAATTGGTGCCTTATACCTTTTCTCAAAACCTGTTCCAAAAGGATGGCCTCATAAATCTAAGAAACAAAGCTCGACAAATAAGGTTGATGTATCGCGAACCAATAATTTCTTTTTTAGCTTCAAATTGAAAGAAGAAGTTTACCATAGAAACGAAATTAGTTTTAATGGACAGAATTCATACATCTCCATTCAGAACATTTTTCAGGAGACATGGGTAATTCATACAAAGTCACTGGTATTTCCTCCTCTTAAACTACTACTTTGCTTTTTCCATTTTTCATTTGGGAGATTACCATTGAATATCAAAACCCTACAGTAACATAAGAACAGCCGTAAAGTTCAGATACAGAATTAAAGCATTTATTTATCTCATGCATGCAAGTGAAGTTTCCCATTAACGTCAAAACTGATGGCAACATATAGTTACCCCAAACTATTCTGACAATAAATACGATATTGTAATTTTGATAACTGACAAAGCAAAGCAGAGGAGATCACAAATAATGCTTACAAAACAAATATTTGAGTCATTTTGGCTAGTTTTACACTAAGCGATGTCAATGTTTGGAAATTTCTTGACAAACAAGCTCACCGTAAATGCTAACAGAGTCGGAATCAGGATATTTTACCATAATACAATGCATAACCAGGCAAGGTCTCAACTTTCTCTTCTTATCAGTGTCACAAAAACAGCCTCTTTACCATCAAATTCTATCAATTTCCATAACATATTGGATAATTGACCGACATGATCAAATCATTTGCAAGCTTTGTTAACTTTAAAACATGTCTGGATAGTTTCAAGTTCTTTTCAAAAGCAAAAATACAAATGGAAGACAAAATACTGGTTGTACACTTTTCAAATATTTCATACAAAAAATGTGTATTGTATTTGTGCTAAACTCTCATCAAATATGTCTGACTGGTGAGCTGTGTGTGGAGGCTATCCTTATGATCACATGTCAAATAATGGTATTTTGTCAGCGATACTTGCATATGCTTGTCAGACAACCCTACGGCTCGAGGGACATCGCTCGTGATGACAGACGCCATGCATTAATTAGTCAAAGAAGATCTCTAGACAACCCAGGCTCACACTGTTGGATATTTTTAACAATGTCTGAGCTCAGTGAAGCAATGGTTAATCAAGTAATTCTATTTTTTCTTTTTTTTCCCCCATCTGTTGAACATTTATCTATGCTGTCCCCAGATTACTTGGCACAAAGCCTATAAATACACAGTAGGGACAATGAAGATCTACTTGATAGCAGCCAATCATAGTCCAAAATTTGGATTCTAACCTGGATTTGATGTTCTCTGTGGCATGATACATGGAGGAGATTTCTAAGACCTGTCCCTGTAGATTGTCAAACAAATACATGTGGACAGAGGTGGAGGCAACCCAATGTATGACTTCTGAACTTGACTATGAAAGATTTAGACAGGGATCATGAAAATGAACCGTAATTACTAATGCAATAGCATATGACTAAAACAGAAGGTCCTACATGCTATGGTAACATTTGAAAATGTCACCATTTCAAACTGCTGGCCCTGAAACTTTAATGTGTTGCTATGATATGCAAATAGGAAAGTGCTGTTTCAATGACCAATTGCCGACTGCAAATGCAATCAGAACATTCTCAAAATGAGGAATATTTAGCCAACAAAACAACACATCCAATAGACACTCTACTAACTGTTTAATCACTCGCATATATCGTACTCCAGACATCTGATTTTAGGATGTTAGAACATTAACACTTTTGTCAACAAGAATCTGGACAAATGAAAGTGTTCCTACCTACAAATACATCAAAATCAAGTCATCTTTACCTCAAATTTGAAAACACAGCTGACCACCAAACCCTTCAACTAAATAGAGGTTTTTTGAGATCAGCCAAAATGTCAATAGAAGGAAAGCCTTTAAACCAACAAGAATGCCTAGAGGAAAAATAGATGTCCTTCTGACCATCAGGTTTCAATACAATCAATATATCCCAACAAGACAATCCACAGAGGAACATCCTGACCATCAAGAACACCCACAAAATAGCATCAGCTCTGATTTTCAAGAGCACTTTCAGAGGGGTGTCCTTCGGACAGTCAAGAACAGTAAGAGAATCAGTTTTGACAATCAAGAACACCCATACAAAGAACCCTTGAATGACGAGAAATGAATGCACTGTTGATCAGCTGAATAAAATAACTTCAACAAAGCTAATGCTCTCTTTTTCTCCTTGAAAACATTGTATAGTCCACCACCAAAACACTCACAAACATATCATCAGTTCTCTGTCATTACCAGAGCAACTGATTTCCACTACATAAATAATTTCGGAATTATTTCCCTTGAAATTCATTGAAATACTATTTATGTGCAAGGTTGTAATTCAGATATCAAATATTTCTCTCACACAGACTTTGCATTACATATTCAAGTCAGGAAGTACATTGATTTGACACTATGATACTATTTAATACCTAATCTGAGATAATAATAGACGTTCTATAGCAACATTGCACTCTACCGCAAACCAAACATTATATATCATTAGGGCAATTTTATGATGATATTAAACATGACAGTTCTTTCTATAGCTTAGAACTTGAGCAAGAAAACTTTCAAGACATGTCTTATGATTATTACCCTTCTGACTCCAAATAGCCAACAAGAAATATTGACTGAGTGGCCTGAGGCCTTAACCTTTTTTCTGCTGATAAAAAAACAAAATTTACAAGCATTTGCTTTTAGTGTAAGCTATTTTCCATATGGGACAGGTCTGATCCCGGAGAGGTGGAGTGGTCGGCCATTGCTCATTTGGTGTCCCAAGTGGCCGTTTGCATGAAGTGTGATAATGACCATGTCCGTGGTAACTGTGAACATGTAGTTGGCACATTCCAGGAGATGAAATGTTTGCTGTGTATATGTAAGCTCATGATAGGAAGACCTAACACATGTCTCGCTACATCTTAATCAGTGAGTAGAGATTTCATGAATAATCGATGTCAAAT